GCACTTTACACAAGCTATTAGGGAATTCCCCTTCTCACCATAACCTTACTTAAGTCCAAAGTGCATAGTACTTTAGGCAAGCCAATAACGAAAACCTCTTTCACCATAACCAAATTAGGCCAAGGTGCCTAACACTTCATAAACGTCATCATTGAAACATTTCCCTCCATAACCTAACCTAGCGCACACCATTTACCGCACGGTGTATAGTACTTTACACAAGCTATTAAGGAATTCCCTCTCACCATAATCCCATACAAGTCCATAGTGCATAGCACTTTAGACCAATCAACCACACAATACTCTTTCACAAGCGAATCAGGAAAATCTCTTTCAGCATAACCTAATGAAGTGCCTAATACTTTACACTATTGTATATATGAATCAGGGTTCCCCCGTCCCGTAAGCTTTTTTAATTCATTCAAATCATCGCCAAAGCTCGCATTAGTTCAATAGCACCCGCTCACTAGTATGACGGATATGCTTTTTTAATTTCGTGTTTTTCGAGTGTTTAGCTACAGCCACTGCTACATCCTGTTTATGACCTTACGACCACCGAATAATGACATTTAAATATGCTCATCATCATCATAAGGTCGTCAGTCCTAAGACTGGTTGGACACGCACCTCCACTCTTTCTTATCCTGAGCTAATCTTCCTAAAACTAGAACAACCCACATCCTTAACTATTTGCAAACAGTAATCTAATCTAGGTGTTGCGTCTTAACCAATTGTTAAAACGCTGTATTGAAATACATATTGTAGTTCGACTTAATTTTTATTTTTTGTGCAAGTACAAAGTTTTTTCCTTTTTTTTGTTACAAGTCAACTGTCCTTATTGGAGTTCAATTTTAGTCTCCTCGAAAAACTTAAGTTAAAATGTATCCAGTACCGTCGCCACCCCTCACCCTCGGTTACTTAGTCAGGGCCACTTCATGACGGTACGGTACGATTTCTAGAAAACTACAACTTACAATTTATGACATGACCGACCACCCTCGACATGCTGTTAAAAAATAGTCCCCTAAAAATTGTTCCTGCACTTTCTAAATTTACAATCTATTTACAGTTCTTTACAATTTCGAGATTTCTCTTTCCAAGAAAAGGTCTCAACAGAGATATTACAAAGAATAGGAGAGCAGAGGATTCTATGGAAGTCATTAAGAAATAGGCGGGATAGGTTGGTAGGGCATCTTCTTAGGCATGAAGTCAGATACATATTAGAGACACAAGAAGGAGTTAAGAGGAGTAGAGGAAGACCTAGATTAGATTACTGTTCGCAAATAGATAAGGATGTGGGATATTCTAGTTTTAGGGAAATGCAGAGATTAACTCAGGGAAGGAAAGAATGGAGGTGTGTCTCCAACCAGTCTTAGGACTGACGACTTGATGAAATGAAATGATGATGAAGCACATGTACAACAATAACAATTCTGCTATAATATACAAAAATATAAATATATAATTAAAAGTATCATATAATTATAGGCAATTCCGTTTAAAAATAGGTATATTTTTACATTGGCAGGTATGTATACACAGAAGAAGTTCATATACTTTCAGATGAGATGCATGCTTTCTTTAGGATTTATATTTTAAAAGACAATTGACTAATTACAATGATTGTACATCGATGATATTGTTTTCTTTATTTAATATGTTTCAAACGTTTGTTTAAAGGATGTTCTTCGCTTCTTGCTTCATTAAAATGCAAATAGAGTGTAAAAACAGTAAGTATCACGCAAGAAAAATAATCAAAATGAAAGTCAGCTGAAGCGTCTTTTTAAGAACGGAACAAAGCTCTAATTCCAATAGCCGCCTTCACACAGACGTATAATTGTCTTGCGGCCGCTTTCTCTTTCGTTTATTCCAATATTAATTCAGTCGGCCATTCAGTTGGGGAATCCCCAAGAAAATTATAAGGCGAAATCGTTTCATAATAACAACTTAACAGCCAACCGAATTAATATAAAGAACTTGATTAATATTCCATTGGCACGACACGAGTGTAACATTTCAATATTTTTATTATCTACATATATTACAAGTACATTATATACAGTGTGTCTACTTAAGTTGACGGCATATGGGAATTTTAATCTTACGAAAAAACGGTACTCTATACAAAGAGTCCTGCATGACCTAAAACTCATAATGACATCATCAGACTTAATAATATAATTTGTCAGTCATATACACGAATAAAATAATTCGAAGTGGTCTGTATTCTGTCGAAACCACGTATCGCGATCTCGATCTTTTTGGATCTCATCAGCGCGTCGTAGGCAGCTCCGACAGAACACAGACCAACTTTTACCTGCTGTCTTAACAGCGCGTTTTAGAAAATACCACAAATGGCGCGGTAAACGCCATCTGTAGTATGATGCTACATTTTAGGATTACGTATGCTCCAACAAGGTCCATTTAATTATATGGATCGTTTCAGCAAGTAAATATCCATATATTTAAATGGACCTTGTTAGAGCATACGTAATCCTAAAATGTGGCATCGTACTATAGATGGCGTTTACCGCGCCATTTGTGGTATTTTCTAGTCATATACAGGTTTTGGCAAAAAGCATGAAATTTGTGAAACAGTTATTTTTGAAAATTGCAGAAACCTTTATAAAGAATAGTTATTGAGAATTAAAAAGTAGTTCCAAATATGCAACCATATTTATCTATGATTTTGTATATTTCTTCATACTCTTGCCACATGAGTAAATATTTATGCATTTATATCTCAACAAATTTTCTTTATAAAGGTTTCTGCTATATTCAGAAATAAGGGTACTTGACTGTTACACAAATTTCATGTTTTATGAAAAAAATTTGTATATGACTGACAAATTATTACGTCTAATGTTGACATTATATATTTTAGATCATATAGGACTTTTTATNAAAGCGGAGGATTGGTAAACCAATGATGGTGTGTTTTTAGTCTTTAATAATTGAATTAATAGTATATTATTTTTGACCAAAACTTGCTAAGATGATATCAATAAAAACGAGATAAAAGACTATAGATAACTGTTAAATTAAAATTAAGAGAAAGCCAAGGCTTAATCTCGTACTTGGCGACTACACTTCAAAAAGTACCCGAAAACCGAAGAAAGTAAACTAAAAAGAAAGCCAAAGAATCTGGCAAAACAGCTGAAGAATTTTCAAAAAAATATCAGTTGTAACACCAATAATACATTAAAAGTTAAAACAGAATAGATAAGGTCTGGTTTTACAAGGATAATTGTAAAGATAATAGAAGAATTCAATATCTTAGCATCATATCAAAAGACTTCAAAATCTGAAGCCATTTATGCCATTGTCATTCTAAATGATTTATGTATGTTGTTGGCTTCTCTTATAATGACAAAACTCATTTTCATTTTCCATTAAGTTTCTGCACCAAAAGACATGTTTATAGACACAAATTTAAAACAAAAAAATGGATGTTGAAGAGTTGTTGTACAACTGTTGTCTGATGTACTTTCGCATTTAGGAGTGGATGAAAAGAAGGCTTGAATGTGCAGAATTAAAGATCTTAATCCAAAACAATGGTGTCAGTCAACTTACTTGCAATTTAAACAATCTTCATGTACTAGGTGTGGTAATAACCATGAAGTTAAACTTCTTACATAATTTAATTCGTTTTGTCTATTAGTGGCAGCTATATGCAACTTTTTACCAAAGTAGTCAACTGCAATCTCATTAATTTGGGAATTCCTTATTTTTGCAATTTGCTCAATACTCATATAGTCATCTACATGCTTAATGGCACAAGGAATAAGCTTGGTAGTTAATACTTTTGTTACATCAAATTCCAGCAATTTTGTTAAAAAGGTGGCTGTTGTATGCCTCAAACAAACTCTTAATTCATTTGGGAATGATATATCATTGGAAAATGTTTTGTACCATGACAAAACATAAACATCTAGTATTTTGTTATAAAACTGTAATAAAAATGCAATTATATTATGGTAAAGAATCTGCTAATGTAATATTTTTCTTACTTCTTCTATTGCTGTATTTAATTCTGCAGAAGGATATAAATTTGTTAAGGGATTTGAGCGATGATGGTGTCGTTTACATGAATCATTGCTACACACACTACATGCTTTTATAGTTATATTTTCTTGTGGAACAGCTTTATAAAGACTGCTGAACTGTTTCATAAAAGAGAAAATATTAGATTGGTTTTTAAGAAAAACCCAACAGATTATGTATCCACTGACATAGCAAATTAATAGGAACACTCCAGAGAGGAAACTAAAAAAACAAAGAAATAACATTTTTGAAAAAACAGCAAAAACGGAGCACTAACCTAAAAGTAATCGATACAAACGTTGTGGTTAAAAAAATTATTAAAGCTGTCCATCGAGCTGCTTCTTCGTTATACGTATGATAAATTATCCTTAGCATATCTACCGATTCTTTATGATTATTATAAAATCAACTTTCGGTTTATTTTACACTTATCCGCATTATTTGTTTGAATTTGGTGTAAACGTCAATCACAAAACTTAAAAATAAAATAAATAACATTAAACGTCAAAACAGGTGTCAAAACTTACTTAGCTCCACCTATTAAGAATAATATAAACTAAGACAATAAGAACGGATTAAATTCTGAGTAAAATATGCAATTTATCCAAACAAAACGTCATGGATCGCGATTTCGATTTTTACACTTCACTATATAAGTATTTATTTCACTGCAAGTTGCGATACGTTCAAGTAGATACGTTACTAAAATCCTTGTCCAACATTTGAAATACTTCAGTTAGCAGTAGATATGAGTAGATGGCGGCAAACTGCCGTTACTTTATATTATTTATAAACTTAAATAGTTATTAAGTTATAATTATATGTATAGATAGAAGGTTATAAGTTAAAATTAACCCAATTAAAATCTGAAGGTCCGGTCTCAACTTTTTCCTATCCTGAGCTAATCTTCGCATTACCCTAAAACTAAAACATTCCACATTCTTAACTATTTGCGAACAGTAAAAAAGTGAAAATCGACTGTTCAAAAATTTAGGAAACGAAAACTTATTTGCATTTCTCTAAAATTGGTACAGGAAATTTTCTTTATTTGAATAACTTCATTTTTTCGGATGTAGAAAGGATAAAGCAAAAATAAATAAGTAATGTATTAAAATAATGTAACAATTTATTGATACTAAATAAAATAAATAAAATGTAAAGTACCGTACTAATAGTGCAACATGCTTGATGCATTACTCTGTCTTTGGAATGAACCAAAGAGAAAGATCACAAATATTTACATAAATATAAAATAAAACATTACAAAAAAAAGTATTTTTGAATAAATATTTTTTTGTTTACAATAAATAATAGAATAACTAAAGTGCGACAGTCATTTCTCAGATCAAATTCGTTTAGAAAGTTTGTGTAGACTGCTTAATCCAGTCCAAGTAGTGTGCAACTTTAGTATAAACTCCTGGAACTCCCCGTTCTCCACATCCAACTCCCCAACTGACAATACCAACTAATTGCCACGTTCCACCCCGTTCGCAAACCATTGGGCCACCACCATCACCTTTACAGGCATCTTTACCTTCTTCACCACCGGCACAAACAAAACCTGGATGCAACTGGAAATCATAGCCCAATCTTGTTTGCTTCATTACATGTTGGCATTGCTGGAATCCCATAACAGGAACATCAACCTCTTTAAGAATGTTCTGGTACTTCCCATTTTGTCCGAAAGCGTCTTTTCCCCATCCAGTTGTCCAACATCTCTGGCCAGTGTAATCATCACGAGGATGTGGCAGACATGCTGGACTAATGTGAGGATATTTAGTCCAATCAAGAGGTCTGTCCATACGTAGAATTGCTATGTCATTATAGAGGGTGCCAGCATAAAATTCAGGATGGACTTCCACGTACGAAATGTCTTTTTCAATGTAGGGATAAAATTCAACGTCATGATTAACGTCCCATTCACCCAGACGCACTCTTAGTTCGTAGTTTTTATAACTGAAATAAAATATTAATCTTAGATAATAATACAGTTTAATGTAGGTGTATGATTATATGATGGGTAGTATATCTTTAGAGGAAAAATAGAAAAACTAGTTCTTAAATAGATACAAATACAAAAGATTATAGGTAAAACCAACAGCAATAGAATGGTTAATTGCTTCTATTCCGCTGTACTATAAACGAAATAATGACTGGCTATGGTAAAACAATTTTACCATCAATACTATCTGTTGATAAATATTTACCTTTTAACACAATGAGCAGCAGTCAAAATATGAAGATTATCAACAAGGGTTCCTCCACAAATATAAACGCTTTCTTTAGGATCTTTTTTTAGAATGGCTACCTGCCATGGATATTCTCCAAACTCACTATCACCTTCATATGATGGATTCTTAATTCTTCCATTTATACCTTGAGCGTGCCTAGTTCCGCATTTTCTGATTTGATTAAAACCTTGAGATGGTATTTGAGGCGGGAAAGGTTTCTTACAGCAAACATGACGAGGCCCACATGATTTTGGTTTCCCAAACTGACCATTGTTACCATAGTAAGCTTGGCGCTAAAATAATTATCACCATTAATTTAATATTTGCTTAAGAGAGATAATATTCATTTTACTTACGGCTGATGGTTCATCCGATTCATCTGTATCACTCTCAGTTTCAGTATCTTCTGTTACCTCCCGTTTAGAAACAGTTTTATTTTGATTCTCGTATGTCTCATCCGATGCTAGAGTAACCAAACTGCCGTTAATAGGGACATCTCTTAAAACTGGTTGTGCTTCTATATCGCTTTTCAAATTTCTCGGATCAATAGCAAGATACAGATCATCTTTGCGACCGAAAACATGATGAGCGGGGCATTGATGTTGTGGAACACAAACGCAATCGTAATTTTCGGATCGAAGGGAGCTTTCTCCTCGATATCCACCTCCATAATTTGAAAGTGCATTATTCGAACCTGCATCGACATTGTATTCTTTTTTGAAAATTCCGGAATCTCCGTAAGAGCCAACGGTAGTTCCAAAGTTTGTATTTACTCCGAATGATGTAGGATCGTAACTATCAAGAACTGGTTTAACAGTACCGATACTTCCAAGTCCTTCGCCACCATATCCTGCAATGCTTTGACCACCGTAGCTTCCAAGGTTAACTCCTGAAAAGTCGGAAGACACTGGTTTAAAGGATGAGGAACCAATTGCTCCTGGCACGTTTTTCTCAGCGTCGTGATGGAAGTGATGGTGGACGTGTTGCTGAACACCACTTGTACTGGCAGTTACAGCTGATCCCCCTTGAGCGTTAACAAAAACTTCTACTTTCTTTTTATCTTTATGACCATCGAATTCATATGGACTTTCTGATGCATAGATGGGTCTTGGTCTAGATACATAATCATTATGTTCATATACGGGTTTGATAAAGGTAGGATTTGGAGAAGTATAAACCGGTGGAGATCCTACATATCCAGGTTTATGGAATGGTTTGTAGTCTCTTCTTGGTGGAGTTGCGTATCCATATTTCCCAGGAGTTGGTGAGTGATGTATAGGTCTTGGAGGACCGTAAATGCCGCTTTGGGGTTTCCTAATAGGAATAGATGGTATGGGACGCCCAACTGGTTTTATATGAACTGGTTGAGCATATACTAATTCTTCTGGCGATATGTAAGAATGTTTTCCTTGGACTTGATCTTCATTACACTAGAAATAATAAAAAAAATGGTAAAAGAGAAAAAAAAACACTAAACTTTTAAAGCTTAAGGAAAGCAAATGTTTTGTTTATTATCTGTCTTCTTTAAAATAAATAACCAAAATTTTAAGTATTACCTGATTTAATCATTCATTAGAGAGATTAAAAGTTTTCTCTAAATAATGTATAATCATAAACTTTAGCACGTTACCATTAATTAAAAGTTCAGATTTTTATTATAAGTAGTAGATGTGTGTTAAAGTTTCGTTTTGGGTTCAAGGTTTTTAGTTCTTGGGCTGCTTATTTCCTATTTTTTATAGTAACATATCGTCACTGTTTATCTCTGACTTCTTATCAGTTAAGCTACTGCTTAGCTACATATGTACGCAAGTTCACATGTACAATGAAGACATCTAGGCATGAAAAGATTTTATCAGATGATGAGTGATTGTTAAACAAGACAAAGACTTCTCCTACTGTAATTGCATAACTTATTTTATTTTTTCATTAACTTCGCGACGTCCATGTAAGAAAAAGTAAAATGATCTGATTAAAAAAGTAGTTTACTATAACCTTGACTTTTATTTAAAATTATTTCCATTGTAAAAAAAAAATAATAATAATAATAAAACGTACATTTACCTTCACTAATCCAAGTAAGCAAAGACGATTTTTTATTATACTTCTTGCTTCGCCATCATTTCCATTGTCCAGTGCTTGTTGTAGGTTGGAATCGTCAGGCGATAAATCGTCAAATCCATTTAATTTTCGCCCTTGTCTCTTTGAAACCAATATGTCATCTACAAGCTCTTCAATGGCGGTTGCATTGAAATCATTGGTGTCTCCTTGGTCATAAGCAGAAGCAGCAGGGATGGCATCTTCGGAGTCAAATTTTTGTGTATCCGGAGAACTTGGATTTTCAGAGTCTTCGCTCCAAGACCAACTGTTACCTTCTGATGACTCAGAAGCATGCAGGAGCGTCACAATTATACAAAAAATAACTATTTTAAGTTTCATTCTGAAACAAAGAAGAAGAATAACGAATTGTTCAATGGAAAAAGAAGTAAATTATTAAAATCGTATTGATAAATAATATAAACAATAATCAAAAATAAATACCAATATTTTCAAATAGTGACAAGAATTCACCTAAGAAGTATTTATTATTAGATATCTGAATTATTAAAATTATGAATGTATAGCTGTATTAGCATTTAGCAAGGAGTTATTGACAAAACAGTATTGTGTGAAAATAAATAAAAATAAAACAAAAATACTGGTATGCAAGGGAATATAAAGATAGGAGACGAAAAATTAGAAGAAATAAGAAGTCTGATAAGTCAGGACGGAAGGAGTAGTAGGGATATAAAGCAGGGGATAGCGTAGGGTCGAGTTGTCCTCAGTAAAAAGAAGTTATTTGTACACTCACGAATGGTCAATTTAGAAATTCGAAAAAGATTGCTAAACGTGTATGTTTGGAGCCCGACACTTTACGGGTGTACTGTGGATAGAGAAGGTAAGAAATAAAGAGATTGTTGCGTATTAACCAATCGTTAAAACGCTGTATTAAAATACAGATTGTAGTTCGAATTAATTTTTATTTTTTGTGCAAGTACAAAGTTTTTTCTTTTTTTTGTTACAAGTCAACTGTCCTTATTGGAGTTCAATTTTAGTCTCCTCGAAAAACTTAAGTTAAAATGTATCCAGTACCGTCGCCACCCCTCACCCTCGGTTACTTAGTCAGGGTCACTTCATGACGGTACGGTACGATTTCTAAAAAACTACAACTTATAATTTATGACATGACCGATCACCCTCGGCATGCTGTTAAAAAATAGTCCCCTAAAAATTGTTCCTGCACTTTCTAAATTTACAATCTATTTACAGTTCTTTACAATTTCGAGATTTCTCTTTCCAAGAAAAGGTCTCAACAGAGATATTACAAAGAATAGGAGAGCAGAGGATTCTATGGAAGTCATTAAGAAATAGGCGGGATAGGTTGGTAGGGCATCTTCTTAGGCATGAAGTCAGATACATATTAGAGACACAAGAAGGAGTTAAGAGGAGTAGAGGAAGACCTAGATTAGATTACTGTTCGCAAATAGATAAGGATGTGGGATATTCTAGTTTTAGGGAAATGCAGAGATTAACTCAGGGAAGGAAAGAATGGAGGTGTGTCTCCAACCAGTCTTAGGACTGACGACTTGATGAAATGAAATGATGATGAAGCACATGTACAACAATAACAATTCTGCTATAATATACAAAAATATAAATATATAATTAAAAGTATCATATAATTATAGGCAATTCCGTTTAAAAATAGGTATATTTTTACATTGGCAGGTATGTATACACAGAAGAAGTTCATATACTTTCAGATGAGATGCATGCTTTCTTTAGGATTTATATTTTAAAAGACAATTGACTAATTACAATGATTGTACATCGATGATATTGTTTTCTTTATTTAATATGTTTCAAACGTTTGTTTAAAGGATGTTCTTCGCTTCTTGCTTCATTAAAATGCAAATAGAGTGTAAAAACAGTAAGTATCACGCAAGAAAAATAATCAAAATGAAAGTCAGCTGAAGCGTCTTTTTAAGAACGGAACAAAGCTCTAATTCCAATAGCCGCCTTCACACAGACGTATAATTGTCTTGCGGCCGCTTTCTCTTTCGTTTATTCCAATATTAATTCAGTCGGCCATTCAGTTGGGGAATCCCCAAGAAAATTATAAGGCGAAATCGTTTCATAATAACAACTTAACAGCCAACCGAATTAATATAAAGAACTTGATTAATATTCCATTGGCACGACACGAGTGTAACATTTCAATATTTTTATTATCTACATATATTACAAGTACATTATATACAGTGTGTCTACTTAAGTTGACGGCATATGGGAATTTTAATCTTACGAAAAAACGGTACTCTATACAAAGAGTCCTGCATGACCTAAAACTCATAATGACATCATCAGACTTAATAATATAATTTGTCAGTCATATACACGAATAAAATAATTCGAAGTGGTCTGTATTCTGTCGAAACCACGTATCGCGATCTCGATCTTTTTGGATCTCATCAGCGCGTCGTAGGCAGCTCCGACAGAACACAGACCAACTTTTACCTGCTGTCTTAACAGCGCGTTTTAGAAAATACCACAAATGGCGCGGTAAACGCCATCTGTAGTATGATGCTACATTTTAGGATTACGTATGCTCCAACAAGGTCCATTTAATTATATGGATCGTTTCAGCAAGTAAATATCCATATATTTAAATGGACCTTGTTAGAGCATACGTAATCCTAAAATGTGGCATCGTACTATAGATGGCGTTTACCGCGCCATTTGTGGTATTTTCTAGTCATATACAGGTTTTGGCAAAAAGCATGAAATTTGTGAAACAGTTATTTTTGAAAATTGCAGAAACCTTTATAAAGAATAGTTATTGAGAATTAAAAAGTAGTTCCAAATATGCAACCATATTTATCTATGATTTTGTATATTTCTTCATACTCTTGCCACATGAGTAAATATTTATGCATTTATATCTCAACAAATTTTCTTTATAAAGGTTTCTGCTATATTCAGAAATAAGGGTACTTGACTGTTACACAAATTTCATGTTTTATGAAAAAAATTTGTATATGACTGACAAATTATTACGTCTAATGTTGACATTATATATTTTAGATCATATAGGACTTTTTATTAAGACTAACTATTTTGGTAAGAAAAATAATAAAGAAGTTTCCCATATGCTTCCAACTTACGTAGACACACTGTATATTCTTAATTCTAATTTGAATATGGTAATTTCCCATCCTTTTAGTTGTTTGTAGAACGGTCTTTCTTAATTAACGATTATAATTAGTGATAAATTTGCAGTCATTTATTACGGTAAATCACGTCTCATGGACGAAACCAATTTAAACAGGTGTTGTGGGTCATTTAAGTTTCTTTTACATATACTATTTCACTTTGAAATATGCATACATTTTCTATTTTTGGTATTAAAAAGTCTAATCTATTTTTATAATAGTCTTGAAATTGTCTTTTTTAAGTGAAATTCATAACTGTTGATAGTAATTAGGGGTGGTTCTCTTCATATAATCCATTCTGATAGGTGAGGAAATAGTTGGTAGGTAAAAGAAAGAAGATTTTCCCAATTTATTACAAAAAACTTTCCTGACCGGACACGTGTTCGCTTATGTAATGTTTCTTCTTATCTTTTATCTCACTATTTTTCTTTACCCTTAAGTTATCATAATGTTGCATTAAAATTCTTTCGATATGGCTATGAAATTTTGCAATAGATAGCTCCGAGCGGTTCTTATTTATATTCGTAATAAATGTAGTAAACAAATAATAGTAGAAGTATAGATAGAAGAGTAGTTCCAAAATTATTACTTAAGGATTTGCTTGTATTTAAACTAGTAAGCACGACATTTGATTTGCCATTTCTACACGTGTAAATAATAAGCCTAGAAGGCTCTTTAGTTTGCGTCACTCAATCTTTAATTTTTTTCTAGATAGCATCGTCAAAGATTCAGGCATTCGGGATTTAGCATGTATCGGCTATTTATCTTGAATTCACCTATTTGACATTAATACTAAAAGCACTCGAAATATGAACTCACTATTTAATGGAAGGACAAATTTCCTATGTCGATAGGAAATAGGGACTCGGAAGATGAATATGAAGAAGGAAAAGAGAAAACATTACAACTAATCCACGTACGAGGTCTGTTAAAAAAGTATCGCGAATTTTGAATTTTTTGCGGGTTACCTATATTTGATTTTTGATTTTTTGTGGCGTTATGTTGGTATTCATGTCTCCTACTTATACCGACAAGTTTGGTCATGTTAAATGTTCAGTTAATTTGTTTGCAAATGGTTTGGTTCGTCTTCGATTTTTGCCTATTTTAAAAAATGGATCAAAGAATCTGTATCAAATTTTGTGTGAAAAACAATATAAATTCGCGGATGCTTTCTAAATGCTGACTATGGCATATGGTGAAGCTACCTATGGCCGAAGTAACGGTGGTACAAAATATTCTCAGATGGCCGAGAAGATGTGAACGACGATGAGCGTGCCGGAAGCCCGAGCACGTTACCAACAGGAAACATTGATTAAGTGAAGAAAATAGAATTGACCAATCGTCGAAACACCGTTAGAGAACTTGCTGAGGGTCTAAAAATATCGATTGGCTTCGGCCATTCGATTTTTACCAATGGTTTGGGTATGAGACGGGTTGCCGCGAAATTTGTACCAAAATTGCTCAATTTCAACCAAAAACAACATCCCATTAACATTGCTAAAGAGCTGTTAGACTCTGTTCTCCATCATCCAAATGTGCTCCAGAGGGTCATAACTGGTGATGAATCATGGGTTTATGGTTTTGACATGGAAACCAAAGTTCAATCATCCTAATGGAAACTGCTGCACGACCCAAGAAAAAAGCGTGCCAAGTTAGGTCGAATGTGAAGGTTTTGCTTACAGTTTTCTTTGATTGCAGGGGCGTGGTGCATCGTGAATTCTTGTCACAGGGTAGAACGGTCAATAGGGAATATTATCTGCAAAGTTATGCGCAATTTGTGCGAAGCAATCCGCAACAAACTTCCGAATTTGTGGAAGAACAGAAATTGGCTTTTCCACCATAATAATGCCCCTGCTTACACATCGTTGCTTTTGAGCGCGAAGTTTTGACCAAAAACAATACACTAATAATTTCGCAGTCACCTTATTTTCTAGGTCTGGCCATCTGTGACTTTTTGTTGTTCCCCCAACTGAAGAGGCTGATGAAAGGACAACTCTAAGTTACCATTGAGAAGATAAAGACGGCATCGAAGGAGGAGCTGAACAGGATCACAGAAACTGATTTTTTGAAGTGCTTCAAAGATTAGAAAATACGTTGGCACAAGTGTATAGTATCTGATGGGGATTACTTTATAAAAATATAAATAATTTTATACCGGCATATTAATTTTTGCGAATAAATAAAACATATAATAAAAACTAGGTAGTTTTCAATTGGCTAAAAAGCAAGTGTAATCAACGAATCTTTTCCTTATTGTTGAATTAATCGTAAAGATAATTGCTTATTTATTAGCGGAGTCTTATATTATAACAAAAACAAGTGTAATGTAGGTATCAGTAACATTATTGCTTTCTTCAGTTTTTTGCTTCTTATGTACCTATGTTAAGTCACGCTACTCTCACTTTCTTTGTGGGTTATTTATTTACACAGCGACTGCATTTTATCAACAGCTGAAATTCAAAAATTAGAGTTAACTTGAGAAAGGAAAAGTTCTTGTTTAGCCGTAACCGTTGTCGTTATGATTACTGAGCAAAATATACTTTCTCTGAAGCCTCGGTCACGGCCAGGTTCTCGTTTTCAGTGTCACTAACCTCGCCTTTTCAGTAGTTGCTTGTGTTTATGTCTTAAGATCGACGATTGAATATTGTTATAGTCACTTTCTCTTTACATAATAATGGGAAAGTGTTGTGGTTATTAAAAAACTTGCCTTTTGATGTATGAGATGTGAGATTAGTGTAAATATTTTGACGCAAGCACTTCTATGTTGACCAGAGTGGTTTTGTTGAAAGAGAGTTGCGTTAGAGGGGGTGAATTTAAGAAAGTTGTTGCATACTAATTTTTTGCAGATGGAAACAACTATTAACCAAAGAGTTACGCTCATTAAAAGGAAAAGTACACCATGTTTGGAACTTTCCAGTTTTACAGATCTAAAAGTTATTAAACTAATAAGGATTTTACCAACAATGAAAAATAATGAACTGATATTTTTAGAAAATGGATTACCGTTACTGAAAATACTTAATAATTTTTTAACATAAACAGTTTATATTTAGGTTAAAATTAATGTTAGTGTAGCTATTTTTTCGTTTTAAAAATTAAAGAGAATATCTTTTAAGGCATTATCGACTGGCTTTGAAATCATTTCTCTAATTAATAAAACAAATTTAGTCACACATAGGTCTCTAACCCTAAAGAGTAGAATTGGAGATGATTTAAATAAGACGAAACGTAAATTGTGAAACTATTCCAAGTGTCTTTACTTTTACACATAGGAAATTAAAAATTACTGCAAACATCCAGTATATCTGTTACAATCTAAGTTAAATGTAATAGAATAGAATATTTTATTCCTCGATTTGATGAAAAATTTTAAAACAGATAAATACCTTTTTACAATAATTCTTGTGGAAAATTAAAGCAATAGCAGAAATTAATATCTTAAGAATAATAAAAATATTATCGGTGATAAAGGTTTTACTAATTTTGAGATATTTTCCATTTTATTTTAACTTTTGTTGGATTTAACAGCAGTAAGATTTTTTTATATGCTTCATTCTAGTGTCGTCTTTCGCGATGGGCTTGTTATTGTGGAAATTTATAGAGGTGATGACACTAAATACTGTTTCAATGGGACGTTTTCCTATTCCGTGGGTAGTTTTCCGCCAGGGGGCATCAAATTTGATCAATATTGATTTATCTATTACGGTTTATTCTTGACCGATTTTGATGATTGAGAAGTTTCTATATCTAGTACGCTTAATATAAATATAGGAGATTTCTTCTTAATATTTGAAATAAAAAAACGTACTTAAAATCGAAGAAAAGGTTTTCAATATTGGTCAATTTTGACGTCGCCTTGCGGAGTCGAAGAACATCACTTGAAATACGATTTACGAACACCCCCTCCATTCATTTCTACCACAATCTGAGTTAAATAGCTGGATTTCCCAAAAAAAAAAATGTATTCTTTTGAAAACTTCTTATATTGCAACGTATTAGATGTAATAAAAATAAAATAACATAACATTTAAACATTAGTCGAGACACGAATAAGAGAATTAATACAGATAAAATTGATTGGACACTCATTAAATAATAAAACTGAATAAATAGACATCAATAATTAGAAGACGACAAAGAAGAATGAACAGTAGAAAGAAATTTATCTTTAGCAAGGCTGTAACTAGACCAATTCTGTTAATAAAAGACACTTATCTTAATATTTAGACCACAAAGCATTTAATTGCACATGCAGTTCAACTGCAGAATTAATACGTGAAAGGCATCTATATAGTAGATGCATGCTTTACGTAGCTCTTCAGATATTAAAATAAAAAAATCGTAAATAAATAAAAATTACTATTAAGACTTTCTAAAGAATTATAAATCATTTTTTCTTACGCTTACTTAAAGACTGATTCACAAGAAATTAACTAATGTCACAGTGAAATTAATTAATAAAAAAAATATTGCGTCTCGTTTTTTGTTCATTATTTATTTATGAACGCTGATTGCTTATATCTAAATGTAAAAAAAATAAAATTCTATCTGTTTCTTTGACTATAATGTGAGTATAAAAAGGTTTTTTGTCTTCTAAGTAATATGTGCTATGTTGCCACATAATAGTTACTTAACTTAAGGAAAGATGCAATAAAAGTGCCATTTAAAGGTACCCACTGTATACATAAAAATTTGAATTCTTTTGTTAGCTTTGATTACTTAGTTTTTGACTTACTTTGATGTTGACGATGACACACTGTGAAGAGATAACGTTGCCGCACCAACTCGAAGAAAGCACTTATTTTCACCGGTGTTTTATACAGATCCCTACTTTATAGTGTTGCACCAACTTTCTATTGCATACTGGCGAAACTCAGAAGATGTATGTCTACTAAAAGACAAGATGGCTTTATATAAGTGAAATGTTACTACCACGATTACGAATACTTGGAAAATCCTGAAGAGATGGGGAAGGAACCATCAGTGACGCGTTTTTTAATTGGTGTTGCAATTCTGCTCAATGAATGGTTTAATTCCAGTTATTTTTATAAGGTTAGTCGATAGAACAGACCCTGAACAGCAAACTTTTTTGGAAATTGGTGTTGCTTATTTGGGTCAGCTGTGGGAAAACCATCGTTCGGCCGTACCTTTGCAATCCGCATCTTAATAACAATTATGTAATAATGTAATGTAAGAAATTGAATTATGTGTATACTGGCTGTGTTGTTCACCTCAAAGTTACTTGCAAATTTTATTTGAGAATTTGGAGTTAACATTTATATTTGATTTTCAATAATGGCATAAAGGACCGACAAGATGTTAAAAATTACCGTGGATCGGAAAGGTTAGGTTAGGTTCTGTTAGGTTATAGGAGTTTGGGCCATAGTCCTTCCATAAGAAAAGGAGACTACCCAAAAAATGGTAAACATTGATTGATTGGTCTTAAGAAAAAGGTTTAGCTTTAATGGTACTTTTTATTTTCAACAGTTAAACAAAATTAGCCAAAACTTTTTATTAAAAACAAAGGAAATGGAATCATAATATAGATGTCATCTGAAACAATAAGAGCCTCACAGCAAAAAAATAAATGCTTTGATGTTATTTAATTAACAAGTGAAGCATTAAGGACTAGTTATAAAAAAGTAATAATCAGATGGATGATATTTTACATGGAAGATTTTCATTAGTAACACCATATTTATAAAAAAAAACATGGTACATTCAGAAAATTGTAGAACAAACAAAATAGCTCCATCACCATGAACAACTACAGTGTCGTGTTTTGGCGTTGGGGTTTGAGCTATTTTGTTTGTTCTACAACAACCGCCAAAGTTTTTCCAATCTTCATATTCACAAAATTAATTAAAATACAAAGAAAAAGACATATTCCGCTGCATTTTAGTTGTTGATGAATATGTACCTAAAGAAAACTTATTTACAAAGTTTATATTGTTAAGAAAATTGTATTTAGTCGGTACGGAATCAATTAATCTCTTCATTTTTAGAGTTTGTTTTAAATTTAATGCAGGTTTTTTTCTTTCATGTATGTTTTTTAAATTTTAATTGAAATACCTTACCTGTTTGTCCTACGTACAAACAATAAATTTGAATTGATGAGATCTCTTATATCAAATATTTTTCAATAATCATCCCCTAATTCCAATTGATAATATACATATAGAAGAAATATCTCTGTATATAAATATGTTTTATTCAAACTTCCTCAGTTATTTAGATCTCATTCTTTATCCATTCCCACCCTTCATGCTACATCTACACTTATACCAAAAATCCTACCTTGCTTATTATCCTACCCCGTCATAAACCTATTACACCAAGACAAAAAGTAATTCTATAATGACATCGACGAAACAAGATAATATATATTTTTATTTTTACTTATACCTACTTCAAAACATTTATTTGCCTGACTATTCTTATCTACCCTCCCTTTCCCTTTTTCTTTTCTTTAAAATTTCTTTCAATATTGTCAGCCTCCTATCATTCTCATTTATAAATGCTCTACATCCTTGTCTTGCATTATCTTTTACACCCTCTTCTAAAACATGTCTTAACGTCTCATTCTCTTTTCCATATATTAAGCATTTTCAGTACCTGGTTTCATTACATTAATTTCCCCTTCTACAGGTATATCCTTTCATTCCCTCAAATACTCCAATAATAAATCCCCTTGCCTCTCTTCCTACAGAAATTGTTTCAACTGTTTCGCATATTTCTACTTTTGTATACATTATAAGTCTCTCCTCCTTGTTATTTCGTAGCTCGTTTTCTTTACCATATTCCCTATATCCATTACTTCTTTTCTCCATTCTCATAGTTGCTCATGGCTTATAATTAACCCTGCTACCGCTTTTTCTCTTTCCTTATCATATTTGTTCTCTATACCGATTTTCAATACTTTGTCTCCAGATTTATCTTCTAATAGCCATTTTCTACAGTTGTCTTATTTTTTTCTTCATATCTTACTACTCTCAACTATAGTTGGAACGCAAAATTCGCAAAGTCAGCAATAAATTAACTATGGGAATGACATATCTTCTTTCTTATTTCCACTTGGAACTGTAGTCATTTGCTACGTTTTGAACACGTTCTTCTTAAGTAAGGAAATGCATCATGAGTATTAAAGACAAAATGAAAAGAGATAACCGAATAATACTAAGTGCTGCAACGGTTAGAGGTTGGTTAAGTACGTAAAAAAATCAGGGTGGACTTTATATTTGTATAGTTAAAATTATATATTAAACAAGCGTCTGTGCTTTTCTAAATTCCTGATAATGTTGAACTTCCTTTAAAGTCCGATGCTGGCAACATGCTCACATTCTGCTTATCTGCATCTTTTTCTGTTAACCGTAAATTGGTGTGTTATTTCTTTTTCTTTATTAGTGTCCGCTGCAGTTTCTACCTGACATCTCTTTTCTATGTTTACGATATTCCCTACAACATCTGTTGTGAATAAAAGTAAGCGTTCTGTTGGCAACCGCTCTATTCTAGTTAGTAAGTTGTAACAAGAAAGTAAATGCGATAATTTTATTGCGGATGCTAATTTTGAACGTGTCAACTGTATCTTCTCACATGTTCTACAATATGTTCAGGTGAACTTTTTCTAAGTTTAAAACCCATGTTTCCTTCTCCATATTTTCTACATTTTTACTCTTTCCTTCTCCATATCACTTCTTCATAAAATACTACACTTTTGATTATTATTGAAATATGAAGATTGGAAAAACTTTGGCGGTTGTTGTAGAACAAACAGAATAGCTCAAAACCCCAACGCCAAAGCAAGACACTGTAGTTGTCCGAAGCACTTTTCGGTAACAAAGTTACCTTCTTCANGAGCATATACTAATTCTTCTGGCGATATGTAAGAATGTTTTCCTTGGACTTGATCTTCATTACACTAGAAATAATAAAAAAAATGGTAAAAGAGAAAAAAAAACACTAAACTTTTAAAGCTTAAGGAAAGCAAATGTTTTGTTTATTATCTGTCTTCTTTAAAATAAATAACCAAAATTTTAAGTATTACCTGATTTAATCATTCATTAGAGAGATTAAAAGTTTTCTCTAAATAATGTATAATCATAAACTTTAGCACGTTACCATTAATTAAAAGTTCAGATTTTTATTATAAGTAGTAGATGTGTGTTAAAGTTTCGTTTTGGGTTCAAGGTTTTTAGTTCTTGGGCTGCTTATTTCCTATTTTTTATAGTAACATATCGTCACTGTTTATCTCTGACTTCTTATCAGTTAAGCTACTGCTTAGCTACATATGTACGCAAGTTCACATGTACAATGAAGACATCTAGGCATGAAAAGATTTTATCAGATGATGAGTGATTGTTAAACAAGACAAAGACTTCTCCTACTGTAATTGCATAACTTATTTTATTTTTTCATTAACTTCGCGACGTCCATGTAAGAAAAAGTAAAATGATCTGATTAAAAAAGTAGTTTACTATAACCTTGACTTTTATTTAAAATTATTTCCATTGTAAAAAAAAAATAATAATAATAATAAAACGTACATTTACCTTCACTAATCCAAGTAAGCAAAGACGATTTTTTATTATACTTCTTGCTTCGCCATCATTTCCATTGTCCAGTGCTTGTTGTAGGTTGGAATCGTCAGGCGATAAATCGTCAAATCCATTTAATTTTCGCCCTTGTCTCTTTGAAACCAATATGTCATCTACAAGCTCTTCAATGGCGGTTGCATTGAAATCATTGGTGTCTCCTTGGTCATAAGCAGAAGCAGCAGGGATGGCATCTTCGGAGTCAAATTTTTGTGTATCCGGAGAACTTGGATTTTCAGAGTCTTCGCTCCAAGACCAACTGTTACCTTCTGATGACTCAGAAGCATGCAGGAGCGTCACAATTATACAAAAAATAACTATTTTAAGTTTCATTCTGAAACAAAGAAGAAGAATAACGAATTGTTCAATGGAAAAAGAAGTAAATTATTAAAATCGTATTGATAAATAATATAAACAATAATCAAAAATAAATACCAATATTTTCAAATAGTGACAAGAATTCACCTAAGAAGTATTTATTATTAGATATCTGAATTATTAAAATTATGAATGTATAGCTGTATTAGCATTTAGCAAGGAGTTATTGACAAAACAGTATTGTGTGAAAATAAATAAAAATAAAACAAAAATACTGGTATGCAAGGGAATATAAAGATAGGAGACGAAAAATTAGAAGAAATAAGAAGTCTGATAAGTCAGGACGGAAGGAGTAGTAGGGATATAAAGCAGGGGATAGCGTAGGGTCGAGTTGTCCTCAGTAAAAAGAAGTTATTTGTACACTCACGAATGGTCAATTTAGAAATTCGAAAAAGATTGCTAAACGTGTATGTTTGGAGCCCGACACTTTACGGGTGTACTGTGGATAGAGAAGGTAAGAAATAAAGAGATTGTTGCGTATTAACCAATCGTTAAAACGCTGTATTAAAATACAGATTGTAGTTCGAATTAATTTTTATTTTTTGTGCAAGTACAAAGTTTTTTCTTTTTTTTGTTACAAGTCAACTGTCCTTATTGGAGTTCAATTTTAGTCTCCTCGAAAAACTTAAGTTAAAATGTATCCAGTACCGTCGCCACCCCTCACCCTCGGTTACTTAGTCAGGGCCACTTCATGACGGTACGGTACGATTTCTAGAAAACTACAACTTACAATTTATGACATGACCGACCACCCTCGACATGCTGTTAAAAAATAGTCCCCTAAAAATTGTTCCTGCACTTTCTAAATTTACAATCTATTTACAGTTCTTTACAATTTCGAGATTTCTCTTTCCAAGA